CGAGGCCCGGCACAGGGGCAGCTACAGCCAAGACTGGCCCCGGGGAGCGGGCGCGGAAGTGCGCGCGGGCGCCCCAGCGCACCACTCGGTGGGGTCTGCCCTCCTCCGGCGCGGGGTCAGGCCAGCATCCCTCCTTCCATCTGCTCCTGTCACCAGCCCCTGGCTCCGCCCTCCTGGCCCCTGAGCCAATAGAAACCCCCGACAACTCTCCTCCGCCCCAAACCCTTTCCACACCCCCACGTTCCGGGAGCCGGTTGGCCGCTGAGCCCTGGGCGAGGCGGGAGTACCTGCAGGGTGGTCCCGGCTTCTGGTAAGTGGAGCGAGCCGTCACTCCGGGCGGCCGGGCCCGCCCACTCCTCCCCGTCTCCGACTCTTCCTGCGCAGTTCTCCTCCGCAGCCTCCGCGAGGAAGTGCCGGGCTGCGCTCGGGCCAGTTCGCGGGGCAGCGCGGAGGCGGCCGTGCGCGCGGTCCCGAGGGGCCAGGCGCCGGAGCGCAGCGTTCCCCTGCCCAGAGAGGGGCGTCGCGCCGCAGGAGCGTCCTCAGGCCAGCGGTTGCNCGTTCCAGTTGCGGCTCCTCCTGGGCAACATGTCAAACGCCGCGGCCGCTACAGCTGCCGCCGCCACCTGGAGAAGAGCAGCAGGAGCAGCAGCGGTGGCCCCGGGCGCACGGGTGCAATAAACCCAACCACCTGGCGTCGCGAGGGCCGAGGAACCATCTCCGCGCTCGCGGCTCCGGCGGGACCAGCGCCATGTGCTGAGCCATGCCCCTCGCCGCGCCCGCGGGCAGCGCATGGGGCAGCGCCTGAGCGGCAGCCGACCCTGCCTCCATGTCCCCAGCGGGCTTCGGCCGCAGCCGCAGGCGCCCCCGCCGCCGGTGAGGAGGAAGCTCGCGCTGCTCTTCGCCATGCTTTGCATCTGGCTCTACATGTTCCTGTACTCGTGCGCCGACTCGTGCGGCGCCGCGCCCGGACTGCTGCTGCTGGGCTCGGGGTCCCGCGCCGACCACGACCCGCCAGCCCCGGCCGACGGTCCCGACGGGGCTTTCCCCAGGTTGCCCTTCCAGGCGGCACCAACCACCCCGTGGGCTGCGGGCGAGGAGAGGGCCGAGGGCGCCGCGAGCGAAGAGGAGCAGAATCCCGAGGCGCCGGACTCCCCCAGCCCCATCTCCACCTTCTTCAGTGGGTCCGGGAGCAAGCAGCTGCCGCAGGCCATCATCATCGGCGTGAAGAAGGGCGGCACGCGGGCGCTGCTCGAGTTCCTGCGCGTGCACCCCGACGTGCGCGCCGTGGGCGCCGAGCCCCACTTCTTCGACCGCAGCTACGACAAGGGCCTCGCCTGGTACCGGTGAGTTTCCCCGTCGGGGCCAGGGCCAGGGCCAGGGGCAGAGGCACCAGCTGCTACCCAGAACGGGAGAGGGAGGGAGGTGTGGCTTGTGCCGGGGAAGTGACAGGGGTAAAGCCTTGGACCGCCGCGGGCGGGGAGGGGCAGGGAACAAATGCTCGGCGCTGGCCCGAGGCGCCCAGAATCCCGCCCCAGCGCGGTACCGAGTGTTTGGGGGGGGCGGGGTGCGGGGAGCTATTGCCACAACCCGTAGAAACTTCTCGAGGAGCTCTGGCAGGGACCCACGACAAGAAATAATCAGGAGAGCTCTCCGCAAACAGGGGGCACAGCGACTGAGATGGCGCTCAGGGAAGCACGCACACCTCCAACCGTGGCCGCGTCCCAAAGGAATCCATTCAGTGCTGCTCGTATTTTGTTCTCGGAGCCCGGGACGTTCCGCGCCCCGCCGCCCCAGGTCTCCGCCCTAGACCAACTTACAGAACAGCTTCTGCTCCCCAGATGGGGATGTGGGGTGGGAGTGACGGTGTCCTGCTCAGGCCGCGGGGAGTCTGGTCACGTTTTTGTTACAGTCCTACTTTTGCTGGAACCCCAACCCAAAGAGGGTCAAGCTCGCTTCGCTGGAGAGCAGCTGGGGCTGGGAGGGTGGCCGGCGCCTCCGCCTGGCGGGCGA